CGTGGTAGGCCCCACGAACCCATGTTGGGTGGTATTTTACCAGTCAATGATCTCAACGAGCAAATTTCTTGACCTTGCAAGACCTTCGGGAATCTTGTAGTGCTGTCAGATCCCAGAAAGCCCGAGTAAGAAGTGGTTGAGAGTGGTTGATGATGTGTCCTCATTAGTTCACTAACAAAATTTGTACTTGATTTCCCCATCATCATCATCCCATTTGGAGGGAAACTCGGATGCATCGAGGGTTGTACCCCCAAGCTCAACGAGTTATTCATTTTATCACGCCCATATAGAGGTGACATCGGACCTATATTTTCTTGACCTTGCAAGACCTTAGAGGATCTTATCGATTCCTCAAAGTCTACATATCCACCACGTGCTGCAACAAAAGAATCTAAGGATTCAAGTTTCAAAATTAGAATTTTTTTTTTTTTTGAGAAAGATTCATTATCATACCAGTTGCAGGGTGTCCAGAAGGAGTTGCATGCAAACCTGCACGCAGTTTCTTGTGTCTTGGTGATGATTGGATGTTTAACAAAGGGAAACCACCACCAGAAAGATCAATCTCCCATGGAGATATTCGTTCTTGATGATCATTTCCAATATCTTCATCCCACCTCACCTGTTTGCAATCCAATAAAGATAGTAAATATACAATTCAATCCAAATTTATAAAACTGTTTCTTTTAATGGAGTTATAGAATATACCATAAGGCATCTCCATTTTGAGTTGTTCCATTTGTAAGGATCCTTATCACCTACACCAGTCACAACTCCACTGAACCTACATGAAAACAAAAACAAATAAATAAATAAATAAATAAATAATCTTTCAATGATTGTAACACATGTACGCCATACCTTCTTTCAGGAGACTCATCCATACAGAACTTCATTTTGAATCTTGCACCAATTGATATCATATTACTCACTGATTTCATGTACTTTGAGTAAGGAACAACAAAATCCGCTCGACTAGACCTGCATTGCATTTTTTTTTTTTATAAACAAAAATAAGTCAAAAAAGAATTATTAATTAATCAAAGTTGTTTTTTCTTGAAGATGAAACGGGTACCTTGGACTGTAGAAAACATGGAAGATGCTGTTGGTGGACACTGCTTTAGCGACAGAAGCAAGAGTGTCGCTATAAGAATTCAAGTTGCTCATGGTGATATCAGGAAGAATGTTTTTGGGTCTAGTAGCTCTTCGAGTTCCCAACCTCAACTCTCCTCCTTCACCCCTAAAACCACCACAGAGTAATTGATTTTTCAGAGGCTCTGAATACTGAACTTTGAATAGTTTCATTCAGAGGCTCTGAATACTGAAACTTAGAAGCTAGAAAGAGATACCTAAGAAAGAGAACTGCATCACCGGAAACAAGATTCTTTTGGCTTACAAAGATGCTCCAACCTGTCGTAAGCAAATGTCGCCTCGGTTGGCCTGTAAAAACATGATTCCATTTCACGATAAATGTATGAATCAAAGATGAAACTTTTTCGTTTTAATCAGAACCCTAAATTACTTGACTAAATTCACCTCGATAGATGTGCCTAAATTTCCATTCGACGCCATGGAGATCCTTAGCAACTAGTTCTTGGCTTGGCCTCTGCTGCTTATAATCCTAAAAATTCAAACGGCACGTGCGTTTTAGTTACATAAAACTAGATTTACACATATATGGAACAAATTTGGTCAAATCTTGCACATGGAAAACGTTAAAAAAAAAAAAAAGTAATGAGAATCAAACCAGAGGTGGAAAACAATCTTCAGCAGCTCTTCGAGGGACAGAAAATCCACCATGAGTGGATGTATCAGAAGCAGTGAGTGTTTTGCAGAACATTTGAGGGGTTGATCTTGTGGGTGTAACCCCACCACCTTCCTCTTGATCCTCCTCTCCTTCTTGCAAATTTCCCTGAAAATTTTCGCCAATCCACCCTTGCAAAATTAAAAATAGAATTCCCATTTCACAAGAATTAATTTATAGTATTAAAGAAAAACTAAGTGCTTTTACCAAAAAGGTTGCATACGAACGAAGATATTCGAAAAGAACCACAATTAGTATAAACATCAAAAGAAACAAGAAATTGTGAAAGCGCTTTTTTTTTCAATTTTCCCACGTATTTAAGTACAGAACTACAAAAAAAATGGTTCCCAATTTTACCTCTGGTAGAGGCAAAAGAGCGAGCTTTGTGTAGACCTCATCATTGTCCTTGTTTGCCTGTTTTCAGGAATTGGGAAAAGCAAGAAAAAAGGTGAAATTGAGTGAAAGAGAACTATACCCAACAAAGAAAAGGGGAAAGTGAACAGCTTACAAGCAATTGAACATCAACAATTTTGCAAAAGATCTGAGGAGGAAGACCTAAAGAAGGAACTTCAATGGGTGAAAAGTGAGTCGATGAGTGTGAAGCAATTTGTTCCAAGTGACCTTGAGGGAAGTAAACAACCACATTTCCTTTATTGGGGAGAGAGGTGAGAGGGCCAGCACAAGCATGCCAAAGTTCCCTATAAACTGAAGACGACGGGTTTGAATTCGGGGACTTTAAGGAAGAATTTGAGGAGTTTGATGAAGTTGACAGTGATGAAACCCCTCCATTTCCGAAAGATTCAGCATTTTGACAAGTCACTGCATGATTCAGATCAATCTCCATCACAAACCCAACTTCAGTTCTTAGCAATTATACCCCAGTGATTCTTGAACCCAAAAAAGATGAACGAACGGAATAGGTGGGGTTTTGAGATAAGAACAATCAAGTGATTCTTGATCTTGAAGGGGCCAAGAAAATTGGGAAATGAAGTCAAATCACGGGAAAAAAATCAAGAAAGGCAAGAAGAAAATGAAAAGACATGGTTTTTGATGATACCAAACAAGAAGAAAAAAAAAAAGGATTGAAGTTTATGAAAGAAGAAAAATTGGGAGGAAATTGAGAGAGAGTATGATTGCTAACCCATTATGTTGGTTTGAGAGTTAAAAGAGGGAGGGGAAGCAGAAGAAGGAAGGCAGACATAGACAAATGCATAGGTAGCACAGAAACAAAAGTCGAAACAAAAGGCAGAAAAAGCCAATGTGGGTTTATGTCTTTTTTAACTTCTAACACTTTTTTCCAACCTAACAAAATCCTATAAAAATTATCTCAGTTTCCTTGAAGAGAGAGATACTCGTGTATAAAGTATAAACCCTTCGTTCTTGGTTCAATTTAATCGAAAGAAAATAAAAAAATATGGATGAAAAAAAAAAAAAAAATTGATGTTTTCGTGTTCTATTAAAAGAGGAAAATGGAAGGAAATGAGAGGTTGACTTTTCCTCTTATATTTCCTTTAGATTTGGAGGATTTTGAAAGAAAGAAAAAAAATTTATTCAATTTCCTTTCATTTCTTTTCAATTCAAAAACACGAAGAAAATAAAATTGTTTTTGTTTTTTTTTCTTTTCTTTTTTATTCTTTTCGTTTTTATTTTGTTAAATTCGGAAAGGAAGCGTTAGTTTGTTATATACATAAGCAGGATTAGTATATCACTATCAATCTTTCGTTCTAACCATTTTCATTTTTTGGTTAACTCTTTTAAAGATTTTTACTTTTTAGTATATTATTATTTTATTATCATTATTAATTTAGGTTATATTTGTAAACAAGTTTATAAGATAGTTTTCACTTTATGAACAAGTTTATAAACAAAATAGTTTTTAATTAATGAATAAATTTATTAATAAGTTATTTCAAGTTCGCTTGAAGATCTCCGGTTCACCTTATATACCAATTTTTTTATTTTCTCCATCGTTTTTTTCGACATAATAGTTTTTAGTTAATGAACAAGTTTATAAACAAAATAGTTTTTAGTTAATGAATAAGTTTATTAATAAGTTAATTCAAGTTCGTTTGAGGATCTCCAATTCACCCTATATCCCAATTTTTTTATTTTCTCCCGTAGTTTTTTTTGACACAATCTCATTTATATCTCTATTTTGAGATATATAAATATTATTCATCTAAATATAGAAAAACATCATTCATTTCTATTAAAATGTAGTTAAAGTTTCAAATGTCGGTTTTAATTTTTCTTTTTTATTTTATATATTTATAGTTTATTTTATCTATTAATTATAATTTAAATATAATGTTTAATATTTTATATATTAAATTCTATTAATTAATCAAAAATACAAAGTTCAATATTTATATATCGAATTCATATAAAAATTTAAATACATACTAAAAATTTGAAACACAGTAACATATTTTATAAAAGCTTATAATTGAATAAGGTTTTTTCATATATACGGTCTTTTCATAAATAGTTCATGTCGATCAAGAAAAAATAAATCTTTTTCATATATACTAGTACGATCCAATATTACTAATGATTTGCGGATTCGGTCTGGTTCTTACCCAAAAACTACAAATTGAAAAACACTGGAATGGGGAACCGGCCCGGTTATAGGTACTTTTGGTTCGGTCCAGGGCCGGTTTCGCTTTTTCTCATTCTAGTCTACGAAATGCATCAATCGATCATTTATGGAAAATTTATTCCAACAAAAAGATATATAGTAGTTTTTCTTCACATGTATGTATAATATTTCTAAAAGATGTATGTATAACATTTATTTGTCAATTTGTTAACAACAAGCAATTTTTTGTTAAACGAGGAACAACGAGAACGAACGTTGAGTATGTTGATATTTTGAGAGATAGATGAGTGACCTACATAAGATAAACGTAAAGTATCACCATTACCAAATATGACTTTTTCTTTTCTCAAATAAGATATGATCGAATCAATGTTTTTACTAAAGGGAGCAATATGTGCAAAAGCTCTATAATCAACATACCAGTTGGGAGAACTGTCATGCAGTTATAGCGGTCGAAAATCAAATATCAATCAAGGTCCGATATTCGATATATAGGTTATCGCGGTAGAATATCGGTGGGATATCGGCATTTTTTATTACGTATAATAATAATAATAATAATAATAATAATAATAATAATAATAATAACAGTATAACTACTTAACGTAAAACATATATAAATATAATAGCAACTAGAAAATTCAAAATGTGTTAATGTTTTAAAGATAATCTAATCGAAACATAATCTAATCGTAAGCCATGAAATCTTCCTCTGAGTCCACATCAACCAAGGCATCCAATTGTTCATCAAGATCATTCACTTCAATTCTAATATCATCATCAACATCATCTCTATAGCGCTCTCTTTTTCTCCTAGTTGTTACCCCAACTTCTTCGTTTCTTCCCATTGCTTCTTGCGTAGCTGACCAAAGAAGACCATCTCTACCATCAACAAACTCTTGAAGCTCAACTTCTGTTGGTATAACCCAATCATCATTTTCCTCTACATCTCTCAATAAAATAGGATCCAAAGATCTGTTGGATTTTAATGAATTGTAATGCCTTTGTAACCTTATGTTGTATTGGATGAATACAAGGTCATTAAGTTTTTGCTGCAAAAGACAATTTATTTTCTTTGAATGTAACTGCACACAAAGAATAAAAGAATTACTTAATGAAGTAAATAAGTTAAATTTAATATTATTTATAAAAAGCACTAGGTAGAAACCAATTACATTGTCAAATGCACTCCAATTGCGTTCACAAGCTGAAGCACTACATGTATGACTAAGGACTGTGATAGCAAAGTTTTGGAGCAAAGGCGTGTAGATCCCATAAGTACGCCACCATATATCTACATTTTATAAATAAATGAAATGACCTTATAAAAATTTATGATATAAAACATGTAAATATGTTAAAAATGTTTTACTTACATGGTGCAACTTTTGTCCTAGCCCTTATAACAGCTGGAGATCCAAATTGCCCAACTGAATCAATGCATAGATTCAACTCTTGCCTCAATTTATCATTGTCATCATTATCAGGCACTAGACGATCTATAGCAACATAAAGTCCCGTCGTAATGTCTCTGTTCTTCCGTATCTCCTTTGAATTTTCCCCATGAAAAATGGCGGGATTCAAGTAACATCCAGTTGTATATTCAATAAAAATTTAATAGTAAAACTAGGAAATTCTATCAAAATAATAAATATAACCTGCATGTAACAGGTGATGAAGTTGGTCGCTCCATCTTGCTTGAATCATAGCCCAAAGTCTAGTGATCATTCTTTCATTAGGCGTGTCAGTCATATTTTTCTTGATCTGCTCCTTGGCTCTGTCTACTGCATCATAGACGTAACCCATACATGGCTTCTCTTCCGTATCAACCAATCTAACCACATCCACCAAAGGAGCTAGCACATGACAAGTAAAGTGTACGTTGTCTCAAAATTCCTGTTTTGCAACTATTCGCTTAACTTTCTTTCTAACCGACTTCTTTGCAAAGTCACTTTTCTTCCGTTCTTCAGAAACAAACAATACTTGAATATGATGTCGATTCTCGTGGATACTCTGAATTGTATAAAACTGGGTTGCAAACCTAGTTACACAAGACCTGTGTAACTCCTTGTTCTTCGTCACCTTCCTCATCAGATTAAGAATTCTTCTGTGGTTGTAAATGTAAACCACAATTGCTCTTGCATCAGCCAAAGTTTTTTTTTTATCTTCGGTATTTTTTCACCAATATCTCCTATCATGAGATTCACACAATGTGTTGCACATGGAGTCCAAAACAACTTGGGATGTTTCTCTTCTAAAATCTTTCCAGTAGCTTTAAAGTTTGACCCATTGTTTGTAATGAACTATAAGAAAATAAGAAAAAAGAATTTAAATTAATAAAATGATTTTAAATTTAAAATAACAAATAATATTTAGAAATTTATAAAGTAAATTTACCTGCACAATGTTCTCCTCTCGAACATCTTTTATCACCTCATTTATCATTTCCACGATCAATTGAGCATTCTTTACATGATCTGATGCATCAATTGATTTCAAGAAAACCGTTCCAAGAGGACAATTGACTAAGAAATTTATCAAACATCTTCCTTTACTGTCTGTCCAAAAATCGGACATAATGCTATACCGATATTCCTCCCAATGTGGTCGGAATGAATCCACAAACTTTTGAGTATCTTCTAAATGTTTTTTCATCAATGTGACACGGATATTATGATAAGATGGAGCTGGCATACCTAATATAAAGTCATAAAATTAAGTATTTAAGTAATAATAAAATAACCAATAAATCTTTAATCACATTTAAATACCTATTCCATATTCAACAATGGAATTGATCATATCTTGGAAACCTTTCTCACCTACGGCATTGAAGGGTAAACCAACCGAATAAGCCCAAGTTGCAATTTTATCCCAAGCGTTCATCTTTAACTTCTCTTTTATTGGATTATTTTTATCAAGTGAACTTTGCTTTTTTTTTCATGATTAGTCTGATAAATTAAATCGAGAGGACCTCGCACATTGCTAGCACCCACAATTTTTTTTTAAACATTTCTTTTTGAACTAACTTCTTATACAACGACTTCCTCATCCTCATCTTCATCAGAAAGATCAACTGTGTAAGATCTAAGAATTTCTATATTTATTTTCTTTTCCTTTTGTATCTTATATTTTTCGTTAATTGATGCCATGACTTTCTTTTGGATATCCATAGTCACATGCGGACAACCGGTGACTTGCCTTGAGGTATGAGTAAGATGTTGCTTCAATCGTGTGATTCCTCCACTTACCATCTTACCACGTAATGTACACCAAATGCTTTATTTTTTTGTGGAATCTCTCCACTCCCCCCATTTCCATGCCATATCTTCATTTAAACATTTTGTCCCAATTCCGACATCAGACGATATTGTATTATTGTTTGTGTTTGTAGGGTTTACAGATGCATGTGAGTATGGACCATCCATCATCAAAGTTGTTGCAAAAAGCACAATCAGTAACAAGGTAACAAAACAACAGGATAGTTTAAGAATAAAGCACTTGTTACAAACTTAGACTTTTACAATAACATGATCCTGTAACAATAAAAACTAACAACTAGCAACCAAGATATGTAAAATAGAATTCGTATATTTAACACAAATACAACATTAAAGAAACTTGTAAGTTGTAGCAACTAGCAACTTAACAGTTAACACTTAAGTACAATATGACAATATCTAAAATGCATGATCAGTTAATATTTAAAACCATGAATCCATGGCTTAACAATAACAACTAACAACCAAGTTAAGAAAAAATGAAAAATATACAACATATTGAAGACGAGGATACAAACAAAAACGAAAAGAAAGATAATAACTTCAGTTAATGGAACAATAGTAGCTGAAGATGAACAAGTTTGGGCCAATTCGAATTTCGAAGCTAAATAGTGGAAGAACCAAAGAAGCGAAGGTACCTATTGAAGACAGAGAACAATAGCTGCTGAAGACGAAGAATCGTAGCTCATGTGTTGCTTAACAGTTAAAGAATCGAAGAAGAATAATGGAACAGCCGAAGAAGAATAATGGAATAAGAATCGCAAATCAGTGTTGAAGTCACAACTCGCAAGTCACTGTCGTCTGGGTTGAATACGAACAAAGACAATTCGATGAAAAGCTAGGTATACAATTGTCGATTGGGAATTTGGGGTTAAGAGTAGACTTTAGTCGTTTGGGCTTATGAGCTATGAGTATTAGTTCCAAAAAAAAAAAATCAAAGTTAATGGGCTTATCCAAAAATTTGGCCGGAAAACAGAATTTCTGGAAAATCGGTGATATAATCGATATTTAGGAATCAAAATAGCGGTAAAATATCGGTAATTATCGTCGATATTTGCGTTTTCGATATCCTGGGCCGATATTTAATACCGATATTTTTAAAGGGGCCGATAACCGATATCCCACCTGGATAGCACTGATATTAACTACCCCAGTTGTCATTAATATGACATGGAAAATGAAATGTATTTGCTAAGTGTGACAATCGTAGAAATTAGGTCATCGTTAAATAAACAGTGTTAGTCTAATCACTGTCATAATAGATCTAATGTGTAATGATTATATCATTTTGATGTTTATAGGGTATTATACTTTAAAATACATCCAAAATATCAATTAAGTCTTGGATTGATATGAATCATTGATTAACAAACAGTTTCAGTATACATAAGGAATGAATTAGTACATATGATTGAAATATATATATATATATATATATATATATATATATATATGTGTGTGTGTATGTATGTATTAGGAATTATTATGTGGTATCAATATGTTTATCAAATAGTCCTTGAAAATAGGAACATTTGGACATAAAGAACGTCGAAAACGGAGTTTGTATGCAAAAGATACGACCGTTAAGATAACGAACAATCGGATAACAGCTTACCGCCTGTTAGGTGTCAAAACACGAACTTCAAACGAATTATGAGACGTCTTAGGAAATTAATTTTTATCCCCGATCAATTTTCCTAACCTCATTCAATTTAGGAATGTATCACATTCCTAACTTTTTATGCCTAAAAATACCTGAAGCTATTGTGGATAAGATCGAACAACCAAAAGTTCACTTTCTTCACCAAGTAACATTCAAACGCTCCATGGGGTCATTTCCGAGTTTCATAACGAAAAGTTATTTATATATTATGAATCAGGTTTTGATGTAGTATTTTGATTTAAGAGCTAATTTTTCCGTTACACGTCGTCTCGACTCTTTTATGAAGAGAAAGTTCACAACTGTAAACAATTATTACCTGAAAATAACTTTCAAACGCTTCGTTATGATAGATATGTTATTTGTTAATGACTAGAAATCGAACTGTTTTTCTTAGAAAATCATCTAGTATTTGATATTGTTAACGAAAAATCGCCACCTATTTTTCATGAAACGTTTGTCGCCTGGTCGAATAAGAAAAAATATCTTACTTTAATCTGAGCTGTTGGATCGTTTTCAATTCGGACCGTTGGATCGAAAACTTTAAAATTGTAACATCTGTTCCAGGTATTGTTTAAATTATGAAATATTTTAGGGTTTGTGCATGGACTCGGCGAGTTGGAGAGCTCTGAATCATCGAGTAAAGACTGTTAGGAGGAAACGAGATTTGGATCCTACTCGACGAGTCAGAAGTCCCCAACTCGATGAGTAGGCTCTGTAGAGAGAAACCCTAATTTCAGGGGTTTGTACCATATTTAAAGGATTTATCGCTAATTTGTAGCCTCCCTCACCGTCTTTACAGCCAAGAAAGAAACCTTAGCTACATCTTTGAGCTTCCTTGAGTGTGTGTGTGTGAGTCTTAGAGAGTAAAACTTGTGCTTTTGAGAAAGGAACTTGAAGGTTGAGGAGCTTAAAGAGAGGAGAAGGATTGGGATCCAACATCTACTGGTTGTGAGCATCCATTTAGAGGTAAAAAGTTACCACCTTGATCTCTTTCTTGCTTAGATCTCATT